GGCGCCCCCCCCCCCCCCCCCTCGGGCCTCATCTCTTCATCTTTCCATTTCCTGTTCGTGTCATGACTTTGTTGGGGGACGCTAGCGTGGCCGCTAATGACGCGCCCGCATAAACACGAGATGGTATCGAGCTCGGATTGCGGGCAAAGCGAGCGTTCGGGACGAGCACGCCCCCCTCAAGCTTTTTGGCTCTTTGCTCGCCGCGGCGGCCGCAGGAGCGCGAGCGTCTGGAGGAGGAGAGGCTGCGAGTGCGGGAGCTGAGGAGGAAATGCCAGGAGAAGCGGGCGCTGATCCCGACTCACCCGGAGAGCCACAGGGAGCGACTCGCGCTTCAGCTGCAGCACGTGAGTGGAGCGCGCTTGCCGAGTGCTGATGTTTCACCATTTTATTGAGGTGTTGAGTTTTGATTTTTTTTTTTTTTTGCAAACGGCGTGGCTTTGAACATGCGGCCAATTGGGAACGCCAACCCCGACTTGAAACCCCGCCCGCGTCCGGACAAGCGTATCCCGGCGAGTCCGCAATCCCCGCCTTGATATGCGACTTTGTCGCGCAGAAGCCTAAATTTGAAGCCCCGATCCTGCTTTGAAATCCTCCTTTTTCAAAACCCTCGGCCCAGCTATTTTGAAAGGCCCCACCCCGGCACCCAAAACGATACTTGCCTTGAAATTCCAATTTGAAAGCCTCGAAAGCATCAGCGGGGAAACCCCGCCTCTCGCTCCTTTGACCTTTGCCGCCGCAGGACAGCGAGGCGATGGAGGCCGCCGCGCGGGCCTTTGAGGACTGGGAGTTTCGTGTTCTGGAGCGGGAGAGCGGCGTGGACGAGGGGCGGGGCGGCGCTGGCCGGGAAGGCGAGGGCGGAGACGAAGAGAGAAGCGCGAGCTTGGAGCGGGACATCGCTTGCCAGCTGCTCGCTGTCACCGCGGCGCAGGTAACCAACCGCCTCCCTTCCTCAGGCTGTTGGATACCACCTTTTTTTTGTGGGGGGGGGGGGGTCATCAGGCCGTTTCCGCGACGGATATTCATTGTAAAGCGCTCGCCAATGCTGGCATGGAGTCCCGATGCCGCTTGCATTTATGGTCCACACAATTTCAAGTCACACAAAAACGGATCATACTTAAAAAAATTGCTTTCCGTCTTGCTGACGCGCACGATGATTCATCATTGCGTCAAACGGTCGCAGCGGAGAGCGCCGGTTGCCTGCTGTCGGCACCCGCCACCACATCTTTTTTTTTAAATTTTTTGCTTCGAGTATCGGTACTTGCCCAAGCCTACTCGTCATCCTTCGTGAAGCAGAAAGCAGACAAACCTCGGCTTCAGACGCTAATTTCAAACCCTAGCTTGAAATATTAGCCCCTAACCCACCGGTGCCAAAGTCAAGGCCCGGGGGCCAGATCTGGCCCACCACATCATTTTATTTGGCCCGCAAAAGCAAATCAAGCATTTCGACTTCCACGATGCTTGTTCAAGTCGGAAGCAAATTTTCAAATTGTCATTTGCAATCCATAATAACGCGGAGACATTGCAAGCATTTTCTCGTTTCCAAACCCCTTTTTACATTCACGTCAACGAGTCATGTCGACGCCTGACTTTGAAATTGTAATCCTGTCTTAAAGTCCGAATTTGAAACCTTCTCCAAGGCTTCAAACTTTGCTCAACTTTAAGACCCGAAAAGCGCTTCCATTCTTAAAACCCTCCCCTGACACCCCAGTTTGAAATCCGAACCCTGGTGTCAAACCCTACTTTCATCCCCTAATTTGGGACCCCAAAACTAATCCAGAGTAAAAA